TATGTTCAGCAGTGGACGTTAGAGGCTAATTGATGATGATGAACTTGTTTTCAATAAAATGTCCTCCATATATATAAAACAGCCGCTATTCCGGAGTCCCCTCGAGAGGGGACGGACGATGATCTTCTAGAATAGAATGGAACGCCAGACAGTTTTTTTAGCTGGTGGAGAATATACTAGAAAATACGTTTTAGAATAATAAAATGTTTACAGGTTAAATATAAGTCATATTTATCGTAACAATATCCTTTCATCGTCTGGTGTTTAATATTTCGTTTAATTATTCAGTCCCTCCATGCGCGGTTCCATTTAAATGTTCGGTATGATATATAGCCTTGTATTTTAAAATAGCTTTTATTTGTACAACGTGTTTTACTTTACATGTCTAAATTATTATTTTGTATAAAATCACGAATTTCTTGCGCGTGCTTGCATGAGCTGTTTCTATTAGATGAGTCATTTGGATATTTTATTGACGAGAGTAGAAATCAGATTCATCATTGTACTTATTTAATTTATAAGTTGTTTGATCAGGAATTTTAATTCTGTCATGTCATTAATTTGTTGTTCAGCTAGATTAGATGTCGTTTCGATTCCTCCACGACTCCTGGCTGAATATTGGGTATTATATTATTTTTTCTTTTTTTCTGTCTTAGTTTTGGGTACATTTTTTCTTGCAGTTGCTTATGGACTATGCAGTCTATGTAATGCGCTGGATGGTTTTCGTTACAGTTGACATATCTAAAATTGGTATCTTAAGTTTTCCTTGAAAAGTCTTTCGTAAAATGACTGCCTGTGCATTTTACACAGGGAGTCTTTCTGAGAAAAAAATTGTTTGTGCCTCCCTACCCTTGACATCGCAAAAACTGTGGTATCTCTCTGTTGGGGCGTGGTACTTTAAAACTACATTTGAGTGCATTATATGTTTCGTTGTATATATGTCTATGTAATGTTTATTTTGGTTTAGATCTATAAAATACATAGATTTTAGTAGATCTTTGTTTTATATTCCAGATGTTTGCTTCTGTCAAAAGCCTTTTAAGCTTTTTTTATATTTTTAACGTTTGTTGATGAGTAGATGTTCTTTAGTACTACTCTAAATTAATTCATTTGTTAGTTTTTTATGTATGATGGTTTGTCTCATTTAGGGCTTTTATGATTTTAGAGTAAGTTTATCTATCTTTATCCTGTATTTTTACCTCTATAGTATTTAATACTGTATTTACCTGCAATTTCTTCATCTAACAGTGCCGAACAATTTTCTACTCCAGATTTATATTTTCTACTCCAGTGACAAATATTAGTGGTGGTTTGAGTTCTTTCTTGGTGCCTTCATTTGGTATTTCCATAGTTCCTTTTTCTGACTCTTTTCTGAGGCTACTAATTCTATTGCTTAGTCAGTATTCATTGAGTTTGATTTGCCTTGTCGATTTTCTATTTTCTTCTTGTGGACTTCTCGGGCGTTTCCTACTGGAAAGTATATGCCATTCATTATTAGGGTTAAATGAAGGTAGTGACGGAAATCTAAGGACGCAGGGGGAATTGGTAGAAAGCAGGCCTCTTGGTTGAAGAATATCAAGGAGTGGACAGGAATAAAGAAAGCTGAGCAACTATTTAGAATAGCTCGAGACAGAGACAGTTTCGCCATGTTAATCGCCAACGTCAAGGGGACTTGATAGGGCACGTTAAGAAGAAAAAGAAGTGACGGAAATGAGGAAAAATATGCATTTGGTTTGGTATCTGTGGATTAGATGATTGGTAAACATGGATACATATGAACTGTCTACGATCCGTGAGCCATAAGAACGACATTATTATAATCCATATCAGCAATTTAAAATCAAATTTTATTTGTTACGTACAAAATAAATATGTTGTTTATTAACTATTCTGATTTTCGATATAGAACATCACAAAAATATGACTTTTACCAATGCACTTAATTACCGTTTAACAGGTTTACTTTTAACACTAATGATCAAACAACTTGAAACCTCCATACTCCGGGAGTATTGGGTTTTTGGAAGTGTAGAACTTTCAAATTTCAGAAGAACTGAAAGAGAAGTGATGAAAAAAAATACTAAAAATAGGGCTAAGCTCAGAGGAACAAATTTAAATGGCCAAAGAGACACTAAATCTCAAGTGAGTGTTCGGGCTAGCTTCAATGCACTGGATTGTGGCTTTAAAGATATAAACAATAATAACAAGAGATAATGATCTAATGAGACAAGAAAGAAATGAGACCTGGTAATATCACACGTGATACAACTGAAGAAGGTCACTGGGAATAAATTTATAGAAAAAGAACAATAAGAAGAGAAAAGAAGGGCGCCAACTCAACGATAGTTGAGATTTTGAAGTAACAAATGAATCTGGAGATAATACTCTGAAATACAAAAATACTAAATAATAATCTTGTTTTGCTATGTTATATACTGGTTAGTAGAACTGAAATAAAACTCAAAATAGCAACAATAAATATATTTATAAAAAATGTATATAGGTATATGTGTATAAACAATTTACATATAATGCAAAGCCAAATAACAGTGGTAGTGGATGGTGTACACATACAATGGGACCTAATAGCCCCTCAACAAACGAATAGTCACTACCACTGGCCAAATAAAATATGAAATATTAGTAACAATTTAAGAATAGTCCGTATGATAGCCAAAGTCTTAACACAAAAAGGTAGTAATTTAACTTAAAATAGTTCTACTAATATGAGATACTAATGACAATATTGTAAAGATATCAAAAGTGATAAATCTGTTACAATTATTATATTATATTCAAAAAGTGAGTCTTCAATACTCTTTATATAATGTTAAAAAAAAACATATGAAATTTATTTCCTTTCAAAAAATCAAATTGTATTATTTCAAAAAAAAATATTATATCAAAAAAAATGAGTTTGGTCAAACCCTTTACATCCTTAGTAAAAAAAAAACCTAATAAAAACATGAAAGGTATTTTCTTCTCTCCCAATAATATCAAAATTATATTATATCAAAAATTAAATTATCACAAAGGTATTTACCTTATCATATGCATATGATGAGTTAACAGTAAATAGATAGCAACAAAGTAAATAGATAGTAACAAAAAAAATTACACAGTTAAACAACTTATCTTTACAGCCCCATAAGTCCATAGGAAAATTCCTCTTGGCACGGTTACATCAGTTTATGGCTGTAAAGACGAATCCTGGGCACAAAACCACAACCAGTCACTGGTCTCTGGGTGACAGCAAAATCCACGGGTTACATACACAAGTTGCTAACTAGTTTAAGGAATTTAGTTACTAGTCCTTGAGGGAATATTCTGAAGAGAATATCCTCAAGTGAAGTGACGGAATCTAAAATTATTATTTAATTTAATAAATACAATTCAATAGGTGTAGCAGCATGGATTGACTGCACCAAAACAAAACATCAAAACATTAGGTTATGTCAACATGTCAGAACTTCCGAATTTACTTCGTAGACATGACAGGCTTGCGCCATGAAAAGAACATGCGCAGAATATAGAAGGCTGTCCAATATTTGTCGAACCTTTTTATATTCCACCAAAAAAGTTAGATACAAAATGGGAACCAAAAAACTTAATGATAACGACGTGGAATAAAACAGAATTTAAGTTTAACTATATAAAAAAAAATGACCTTCTGTTCTTTGCAAGTAAATCAAGGAAATTTTATATTTAAATTATTTCGGAACTCAAAAATAAATCTCTAAAGAAATACTAAATACAATGATAAATTTGATTATATGATAAGGAGATAATACGTATGAAATGATTTACTTACATGGAGCTGCAGCACGCCAAAAAAATCTTCCTTTTATGTGGAACTCTTATAAATATTGATTTTAAAAAATTTACTTAATATTATTTTTATTACTGAGATATGATTCTTTGAATTAGATATTAATATTTCTATTTTATTCTTCCCCAAATTATCTTCCTTGCTCCAATTCCGTCACTTTGAAGGTGAAAAATTTCACCGGTTGACGTGGCTGCGTAGAGTTCTGACCAAAACTGACCGCTTCGCTTCCGCACAAAATCGATCAATCTTCCTTTTTAAGCGACTACTGCGCGTGTGGGGAAAAATGTCGATTTAAAATCGATCGTAGGCGGGTAATAAAAATTTCTTAAGGGGTTAATCAGTAGCGTAAACGCTACAAACTGAAATAAGAGCTAGGATAGAAATAGCAAGAAATACGTTTGCAAAAATGAAAACAATTCTCTGCAACAAAGATTTTGGATTAGAACTGAGAGTAAGAGCACTGAGATGCTACGTGTTTTCGATACTGCAATATGGACTTGAAAGCTGGACATTGAAGCAAGAACACATAAATAAGTTACAGTCCTTTGAAATGTGGTGTTATAGGAGGATGCTTAGAATAGCATGAACACAGAAGAAAACTAACACGGAAGTATTGCGAGAAATGGGTAAAGAATGCGAAATAATAAATACAATAAGAATAAGAAAGTTACAATATCTGAGACACGTAATAAGGGGACAGCGATATGAACTGCTAAGGCTGATAATACAGGAAAAGATAAGAGGAGAGAGAAGTATAGGAAGTAGGAGAGTGTCATGGATGAAGAATTTAAGGGACTGATTTAAATGCAGTTCTGTAGAACTCTTCAGAGCAGCAGTATATAAAGTAAAGATAATGATGATGATATCCAACCTCCGATTGGGAGACGGCACTTAAAAAAGAAGAAGGTTTACTTTAATTATCGCAAATGACCGTACGCTTTGATATATCATTATTTGCTAATAATCATTTGAAAATTTATTCAAAAATTCTTTATTGTCGCAAAAATTAAATCATAACAAAATATAGCCCAAAACTTTTTCAAAACAAATAATTTTTATCGAATAGTTTCTATTATTTTTATTATAAATTGTCTTGAAAGTATGTTCGTATTACTTGGTTTTAATTTTTTATGAAAAACAATAATAGTTACAATATCTTAATACTTTCTAGGTGGATCTAGTTGGTGGTGGAGTAGCAGCAATAAAAAATCATCTTCATCATCCTCGAAATCCTCTTCGGTGGCTACTGGAGCTCATGCTCCCGCACCAGCCCCTAAGGCGTCAGCTCCTCAACATGATACGAGTATAAAGAAACAAACTTCCCAACTTAGTCATCAACCGGCAAGCAATCCCCACTATGGAAATAACCAACAAAATCCCATTGGATGGAACGTACCAGGAAACAAACAAGGTAGATAATAATTTTCGATATTTATGTGTAGAACTGTAGAACGTTTATATTATTTAAAATACTTGCTACAGGTAGAATTACCGCAGATTGCGGATTTGCACGAAACTCATACTTCAGTTCAGTTCGAACTATTTTAAGAACATTTATGATCTTTTCCAAAATATCTTATTTATTTTTGTAGCTAACGACTTATACTACAAAAATAGAATTTTTGATATTTGAGTTTGAATGTACTGTTTACTTTAAATATTTTGTTGGCCTTTTTTAAACAATATCTGATTCAAGAAAGCCTCTCAATTTATATGTAAAACAGGGGAAAGTGATAAAAGTCGAATGCTTCACTTTTGGTGGATAGATACTGAAAGAAGTAGGTCTACAGCAACACCTGACTTCGCTTAGTTACACAAACCAAGCTGTAGAAACACACCATTGGATCAGTAAAAGTGCTTGGCTTACTTTGAAATTAATTCCACACACACAAGGTGTAAGAAAAGGATGTATACTATCTCCACAACAATTTAATGTATAAGGAAAATATATTAAATATATAAAAGGAGGAATTCACCAAGAAGACTCGCTCAGCCCATTGTTATTGAATATGGTGATGAATCAAATAATTCACGAAGTAAGAAAACGACACAAATACCACATAGGAGCGCATAAAATCACGATACTATTCTATGCCGATGATGCAGTACTAATTGCTGATAACGACGATAACCTAAAAAGGCAGCTCCACACTTTTAATATCACGTGATCAGTAATGAGCCGCGTAGATGCAAACTAGAAATAGACGGCATAATTGTAGAACAAGTAATGAAATTGAATTACCTAGGAGTAGAGATTACTAGTGACAGGGATATAAGAACAGAGACCACAAGGCAAGCATCAAAAGCGACAAGAGTAAGTGGTTGCCTCCGAGAAACCATATGGAGAAACAAATATCTGACCACGGAAAGCAAAATGAAAGTATACAAGACAACAGTAAGACCAATCCTAACATATGCAGCGGAGACAAGGACATATACAAGAAATGCGAAACAACAAATCAACAATATCGAAATGAAAGGATTAAGATCAATAGCGGGCATATCATTAAGAGACAGACAAACCAACAGAAGTATGCGCGAACATTGCAAAATTCCTGTTACTGATTCCCTCTTTTAATTTATTAAAAGATTACATATACCTATAACATTTAACATAATTAAAGCCGCTTCTTTGATTTTCCCTTTTTATCATCTGTTTCTTTCAGGACTATACTTAAATCTTTTCATTGAACTTTATCTTTATTTTCTCCAGCGAGTTTACATATTTGATCGATGTTTACTTATTATATCATTTTATGGTCTTGATGTTACACCTAAATAAAAATGTTCACTTTACAAGGTAATTGATAAATACAAACCTTTGTTCTTTTTTGTTCATTGATATGTTCATTAAAAATAAAAATAAGTAAACATCAATCTTAATTCAAACATAGAGAATTTGACAGATATCAAGTATCGTCGCCTCAAAGCAACAGTAGGATATGTAAAATAATGTAGTTTCGAGAAAAACGCATTTGAAAATTTTACGAAAAACCCCCTCTGTGGCTCAGTGGTAAGAGCGCCTACCTTTGAACCTAAAGGTCGTGAGTTCGAATCTCACCTGAGTGGAAATTTTCGTTTATTAAAAATTAATAAATGAAAATAATTTCTATCCTTGTGCGATCGGTACTCACCGGAGGGACCGCAGACGTTCGGATACAATTAGCGTCTCTTAGCAAAGACAATGACGTCGACTTTGCTAAGTATCAAGACAATTACTCTACACACACAAACACTACACACCTGACTGTAAAAATTTACTGTACCATGCTAATGACCATTAGTTGTCGACGAAAAAAAAAACGAAACTTTAGTAATTAATAACTTTTTTAAATGTGTTTACGTGGAATTTAGTTTGAGTACCTAAATTTACATGTAGCAAATAACAATTTATATTAATTAATAAAAAAGTGAAAAATAATTGGAAAAAAAATTATTTGTCCTATTGTTGCCCCCAAAAATAATCTGTTTTTAACGATATCCGTAAATTTCTGTTATATAAACTTGTATTTACATTTAAACATATTTACATATAAACTTGTATTGTATTTGTATAAAAACAAAACAATTTTGTTGTTCAAATATGTTATTACATAAATAATAACATAAACATACTTATTTTACAAAAATTTAAAAATTTGACAAGATAATAAACAAAATAAAATGAAAAAATCATCAGAATCAATAATGGTAATAGCGGATACTGAAAGTTGTGAAAGTACAAATTTATTGCATTTAAATAAATCAGCCCAAAATTTCTAAAATAAAATAAAATGTGAATTTATCATGAATTTAACTTACCTATTTCCTGTGCGTGATAAATTCCAAATAACAACTCAGAATCGGTGTTATTTTTGTTCGCTAAATACACTAAATACTGACTTTTAGATACCCATAATTTGTACAATTTAAATTGGCCCAATTGTTCATTTTTACTCTTTAACATACACCTTTTAACATCAATGTAATAGAACTATTGTTTAAGATTACTGAAGATAAAATTATGACTGCAAGCTGGATGGTATAAACAAAGACATCAATCACAACTCAGCAATAAGTGCATGGCAACAGTAGGATATGTGCGTAAGATAACTTAGTGTTGCATTAATATTGATGACCAAAATGGGTAAACGACAAAATATAATGGTATGATATGTATGTTGTCTTAGTGTTGTATTATAAAATTTGGGCTAAAAGGAATTAAGCTACACAAGGATATGTAATATTATGAAAAAAGTACATCACTTTTTATTTATCCTAGGGTTACACTCAACAGAAGGGTTTATTTCGAATCATTTGGCATGAATATCACAAAAGTCATTTTTTTACATATCCTACTGTTTCTTTGAGGCGACGATATGTAAACACGCTGGAGAAAATGGACATAGGATTCAATGAAAAGATTTAAGTATAGTTCAAAAAGAAACAGATGGTAAAAAGAAAAAATCAAAGAAACGGATTTAATTATGTTGATTAAAATCAATCGCGTCGCAAATTCCTTGGCACAACGCAATGGGATCTGGCTACCTATATTAAAAAAAGAAACAAATTGAATGAAAATATCACTATTAGTATGTAATTCAACAACATGTTGGGATACATGATTTATGGTTTAAAATAACATACTTATAAAATTAGAGTTTTGGTGTTAATATTGAAAGTAAGTAAATATATATGAATATACTTTTGCCATACCCGATAATGTGAATTGATTTTATTAATTATTTTTTATACTTTTAGAAGAGTAATACCTTATTTCAGGACCCCTCATAGGTGACGTGTGGGTTCTAGAGATGACAAAGTCAGTTCCATCAAGGGATCAGGTGCAATGACTCCGATTCCGACTGCAGACTCAGTTCATTTTTGCAGGTGCAGGTGCATGGATTTGTGGAATTGGAGGAGGCAATACGATCGACAATTGCTCTTTTAAACATTTAGTTACCTATAATAACGTTAGAAGAATGGGACTTGATAAAAATTTGGTAGACATTTTACGCCCTTTTAAAACTGTAACTTCATCAGTTAGTGGGGAAAAATACATATCGGCATCATTAGTAATTGTATTTATTAAATGTAATGGAGGAAATGATTACTTCTGGCGAACTGAAATCAGATTTATCAAACCAAGTTATTGGTAAACTAAAAAATGGACTCCAAACACGATTCACTAATATTGAATTTAATGTTGCGCTGGCTGCCAATACGTTTTTAGATCCACGTTTCAAGCTTCTACCATTTCAAAGCGCTGCAGCTGCAGATCAGATAAAGAAAAAAGTGACAAATATGGCAGCACATCTCGTTGTACAAATTAGGGCTGCACCGCAGAGAGAAATGGAAAGAGAATCGACTACTAGCAGTGAACCTACGAGAAGCAAATATTCGCTTTGTTCTTCTTTAGATAACAAAATATCTAAGAAAACAACCGGTAGGGACAGGGATCAGTAAAGCTATCAATGAAGTGCAGCGTTATATTGAAGATGATATCTTAAATAAAGACGAAGATTCCCTTCTTTGGTGGAAAGCCAATCGACATAATTATCCCACTTTAAGTTCACTTGTAGGAAACAAGTTTGCTTGTTTTCTACAAGTGATTTAGTAAATTTTAGACATTCTAGCCTATAAATATCATTTTGCATATTAGTCTTTTTTTATACTTAATATTATAATATAAAAATATTTTTATTAAAGAATTTATTGTTTAATAGCTATTTATTTTTTTTTTGACACATTGCAATGTAATTTGACAAAATAAAAATCTTGACATTTTATTTAGACTTTTCTTTATCCTTTATCCAATTTTGAAGATATATCCGAAATTTGTAAGTTAATTTTAATTAACTATTGAATAATGTATTTAACACTTTAATAACTGTTAGTAAAGGATTTATAAAACGGTTACAAAAGACCTTCCAAAATTCTAATATAAATACTTTTTTGTTAAAGCTGGCCATCACCAAACTCACAGCTATCCTACAGGAAACCAACCACATGGTTCTTGGCCAAATTCCGGTCAATACCCTCAACAACATGGAAGTTGGGGTACACAGCACGGCAGTTATGGCAATCAACATGGAGGATGGGGTAATCAACAACATAGTGGTTGGGGAGGTCAGCAACAAAGCGGTTGGGGAGGACAACATGGAGGCTGGAACGGACAACATAGCGGTTGGGGAGGACAGCATGGAGGTTATGGCGGTCAAAATTATGGAGGTTGGGGTGGTGGTTATTCTAGTCCCGGTTATTCTGGTTATGGAGGAATGCAACGAGGTGGATTTATGGGCGGAGGCTATGGTGGAGGAATGGGAGGATATGGAATGGGAATGGGAATGGGTATGGGAATGGGTGGTATGGGTGGTTATGGAGGTTATTCACCATATGGTAAGTTATTAATTTAAAAAATAATTATAGATTTTATAGTACCACCATATGGAGTTAAAACCATGCCAAATATAACAAAAAATGTTTGTTTTACTCTTTAATAAGAATCTCTACTGCAAACTAATAGTCAAATAGTAAAAATTGTACTGCAAAAATGTTAACTTATGTTAACAAAAAGCAGTGTTAGTTATTGTTTTCTTTGTTATGCATGGATCTAGTGAGTATTTTATGAGAATTTTTACAAATGTGAATTTTTAAATTTGTACAGAGTACAGTAAAGGATTACAGATTAGTCATCTACTTTTATTTCTGTTTATTTTAAGGTACATTCCAATATATACAATTATATATTTTCATGAACAGCTAACTTTTCCTCCTTAGACCAGTTATCCATTGCAATAAACAACACTGCTAAAATCCAAATAATTCGACAAAAAGATCTTTGAGATTTAAGTAAAAAACTAAAATTTTTATAAAACTTTGACACGTGGTATCTTCGAAACAAGACGTTTAAGGACACATGTTTCTATAGACTTGGTACTTGCTTTCTATAAACACATTTGGTTTAGGAATGTGCCTTTAAAATTACGACCTATCATTAAGTAACACTCTATATTCGTAGTAGTATCTAGTGAAAGTGACAAAAATAAGGTAGATGTATTAGAAACATATTTAAAACACTTGGTCCTAATTTAGCGGGCTGTCCGGAAATGATGAACTAAAAATATTTATTTTCAGCAACCTTTATGTTGCTACACCTATATAAACTTGGCCCGCATGAATATTTCAAAAAGACTTTTGAGTTAGACAAATTAAGAATTTTAACCTGTTCTGATCTTATCTGTATTTTGATCTTTCCACATTGATCTGTTAATTTAATCACCCATCTTGATCCATGCCGTTTCTTCGTGTCGTCGTTTATTAAAAACAATGATATGGGATAGAACTATAGCAGCATGTCTTATCCAGGAATTATGATTTCTCTCCTTACTTTCCATTTTATCTTTAACTTTCAAAATATTAGTATCAAAATATTGAGATTGACCTAATCATTATTTATTGGTAGCAATTGTACTGCATTCAACTTTCTATTGTATAGTGTAGCAACCGCACTTGACGATTTATTCAGCTTTAGATGTCCAGATCGAAAAGCACTGTCTGACTCTAATGATATAGATTTCTCTAATCCAAGTTTTGATCACCATACTTGGAATTTTGCATTATAACCTCGATATTTCGTCGTCAACTGCAATCATGATGACCTCTTTTGTAGCTTGAATGATTTTTTTAGATTTCTTGGCAACAAGAAAGGCTCCCAATTATTGTGATTTATTTTTTCCTAACTTTCCCAGTCCACCTGTTAAAGGTCGATTAAGATACATCAGTCACGTCTCGTCACAGTCCTGGCGCCGAACGGAACAATCCGTCATACAAAATATTCTTTAATAGAAATATGGCGCCGGCATTCACATTCATCAGGCGACGAACAGTTTCCCAGCTGTTAGACAGTTGATAGTTCTGTGACCAAACAGGACCGGTTCGGCGCCGAGACTATGACGGGACTGATGTGTCTGAATCGACCTTTAGGGTGCCAACTGTTTCATATTTTGACGTATTAACTCGTTTTGCGTCTTGCATGCTTTTTAAACTACATTGATATATATTTTATTAGTAAAACGGATTATTTTCTGCTATTTTATCGATTTGGTGTGAGGTGTAGCCATTCACTAGAGATTGATAAAAATCTTTTATAAATCCAAAACCATGAATATGGTATATTAGAACATAGCAAACATATTTTAACATACATGCGTTTTAACACAAATGCTCAAACAATAAAAACACGGCCCATAATCAGATTGTTCAATGAATTTTATTTCATTTTGAGTTTGCCGTCGCAAAATTATTAATTCTTCAACGTTATAAAAATTACCCACGCTAATACGCTGAAGGAATTCGGCACATGCTCTTTTGAGTTCTTTGGATATGCTTAGCATTTTGTTACTTCGGTCACAGAATAATAAACAATCAGAATGACCACTCTGAGATGCCACCTTTGTTGAGTTTTTCAGCACGCGCGCCATGTTTTAGAAGGAAACATATCATATGTCTATTAACACAGACATATGATTTGTGAGGTTATGTAATCGTTTATATTTGTGTTTAAATTTATGTTATTATATTTAAAAATGTTATAGTATGTCTATGATTGCCGTAAGTCAATTAAACCGGGTTAATTTTTCTATGCACACCACATAAACAACACTGATTCCCTCTAAAACATGGCGGAACGTCTGCGCGAAGGAGATGCGCGTACTTAATTTTCCATGGAAAGTGGGTATTCTGATTGTTTATTATTCTGTGCTTCGGTCGTCTCTGGATGTACAGTTTCAAAGTGCCTACCCAAATAGACAACTAATTTATGATAAATAATATAGACGTTATTCTTATCTTCACTCTTTTCCCCATTTTTCTTTGATGCTGCAACAACCTTTACACATATATCCTTAGCTATAGTCTCTTTTATTTATTCCATATATGGCAGTAAGGATTTATCACTTGCTTTCGTACTTTACACAATTTCTTCTCTATATCTTTTTCTGTATTTCTCAAGTATGCTTCAACCCTTCTTTTGAAAAGCTAAAAAGCTCACATTCTGTCCTTTAGAATGCACACATATTCATTACTAACTTTTCATCGGTTGTTCCGTTATTTTGTCTAATAGATTTTTGTTTGCTACCTATTTCTGTTTCACCAGAATTTTTATTTCCAGTATAGTTCAACACACCAGAATTATTTAACTCATTTATATTCGAATTTTTTTACAACTAGATAAAAAGCAGAAAGAAAAGTATAGCCTAAGGTTGAATTCACTATCAAACGTACGCTAGGTATGTTTTTCCGGAAGGTTACCCCCCTCAACACAACAGTGCGGCTGTTAAGGGCCTAGAGGTTTACGTTTTTTGGGTGTTTTAAGTCACTATCGAAATGTCTGGCTCCAGCAGATCTAAATAATTCCACAAGATCCGTGACTCGGTCAAAGACTTCCCCTAGCGAACCAACTTAATACTGTAATTTTAGATGAGTCTGAATCACACTCCCAAAACGCAGGGAACGTTTTGTTCGACTTAGACACACAACTTATTATACCAACTGCAAAATTTCATCACGCCAGAAAGCAGCTCCAGTTATACGACTCTAAACACTCTGTACTTCCGGACTTTTAGACCTTAAAACCCTAAAATTACTTTAAAATCTACCTTTACCCCTATAATGGCAACTTCTGCGCCACCTCCAAAGGACAGAAATAATGAAAAATTTTACCAACTCTGCAATCAACCTCAAGATCTTCAAATATCTTATTAAAGATATTCCACCTAATCTTTCAAAGCAGAGAACTTTCTTTAGAATGAATAGCGTAAGAGAAATCTTGTAAAACAAAATTGATCTTATTTATGAATCCTCCACTCGAAGAAGTCGCAGGAAATTATATTCAAAACGACAAAAGCAATCGGAACATGTGCCATCACTTCCAAAACAGCAATAAATAGCACGCACCGTTCTCATAACCCAAAAGCCCCGTATACTTGTTTATAATATCGAAAGTAGAAAAAGATTATACCGTAGAAGAATAAACCTTTATTTTACAAGATCATGATATATCGTGGGCAACTCTGAAGCGTCAAATCCCAGAAAATGAACAGCCCCTCCAAATTCGTTTAATACCTTACCATATTCGAAGAAAAATACACCCAATCCTTACACTCTGGCATCATGTTTGATGGACACATCGAGCTTCCAAAACTCCATCAGATCAGCTTCACAATACAGCAGCAGATGCTGCATAAATGACCACTTCACAGAATGTAGAAACAGAAACTATACCTGCTCGAATTGTGTAAAAGATCCAAATCAACTGCGTGTCGGACACCAGCCACCCCAAAATGTCCAAATTGTAGCGCAATACAATTACCTATCTTATATACCCTAACCCTGTCTAACCAATACCCAAAACGACAGAAAATTCTTTAAATTCTCAGCATAATTCAACCCGTATCTGTGGAAAGAAGCATACCTTCGGTCGATCTCACCACAGATATGAAAAATGTTATTGCCTTAAACCTCATAGTTCTCCTTAACATCTTTCTGAAAAAAATGTGGTAGAGAAAATGTTCAGTCATACCTATAACCTGGTTGAAACACTGAGCTTCCATCTCACCTATTAAACTCCCTTTTATGGATGCTGTAGGTGCAATTAACTGCCAGGGGCTCTTCAAAAAAATACCCCCCGAAAACAAAAACCAGAAACCACTGTCAGGAACGGTATCCTAAAGAAATATGACATATCACACTCTCTAAATAAGTTCCCAAAAACTTTTATCCTTTCGATGTTGCTTATCATTCATGGAATCATCTGAATCAATATAATAAATCGAACCTTGTCATCATTGGATAATGAAGTAATAGTCGCATTGGATGCAACCGACGTTCGGTAGAAAATAGGAATGTCGTCTTCTGCATCAGAATCACCCTTAAAATCTGAATTTATGGCTTGTTGATATTAAATATCATCTATGTAATCAAATAAATCGTCATGTTTTGTAAATTTCAGTACTTATATTCTGGTGTTCCATTTTACTGCAAAAGTACATAAATTGTTGCATATAAATATTATTAAAAACTTAATGACTTAAATTACCTCACAGCAATTTAATTCTCAGAAATATTAATTAAGTAAGTCAGATTGGCATAAAAAAGAATATAATTGTATAGATATAAAATAAATTGAGTAAAAACGCATTTTAATAGAACAATTTATTGTAAAATCAACAGGTGCTACATTGAGGTTATGTTCACTAAATCAAGTTTATTATCTTAGCGCCAACCTTGAGTTTGATGTATAAATCCGTCTTAAATTATTTTTCTAACTTTTACAAAAGGCATATAGCTGTGATCACGTTTAACATTACCTTAAAATACATTAGGGATTGTGGTTGGATAATCGACCACATTGCTGCCAGGTTGCCGGGTTTTGTTTTGTGGTGTTCATTTTGGATATAGTTCATTTACAAACACTCAGTTTGCACTTCGGTAAATGTTTGTAGGTACTAGCTCAAAGTAATATTAAATGCAGTGATCGAAATATCAACCACGAACCTATAAAGGGTCAGTTTTTTATTAACATTGATAATAATTTTATAGGTATGCAAAAAAAATCCGGCTTCTTTAGTGGTGGTAGTACCTTTGGCAACATTTTAACTGGTATGGCCATTTACCATGTAACTTCTAGTTTGGTGAAAGGGATCTTTGGTGTAGGACAAAAAAGACCATACAATGTGTACAATTACTACAATCAACCAGCAGAAGCCAGGGAGGAAATCAAACTACCCTCTAATGTCTTAACTATGTGCGAAGGAAATTTAACTACAGTCTGTACAGGTAATGATATAAAATAAAAAAAAATATCTTAATATGCTATTCTTTTTGGTATTTATATATTAAAACTATCAACAAAAAAAGAGATTCAAATTTTTCATATTATTAATTTATTATTGAAGATTATCGATCTCGACTTTACAAACAGCACAGTAAAGAAAGATGCTATATTACACAGCATTTAAACCTGATCTATCGTCTAATGTTTTTCTTCAAGGACTGAGAAATGTATATTATGTGCTTGAACAATTTCCTCTTTCGTGTTTTAATCACTTGTAAGAACTATTTCATCTTCTTCTTCTTCTTTTCCTTAGAAATTTTTTTTTCAATTTCTTCTGTTAACATTAGACTAATAGTATCTTCTAGTTATCCATTTCAACTACATGTTTGCAGTCAAACTACGTGGTAATAAATGGGCAAACACACGATCGCCAAATATTGTTTGTAAAGTACCTACCTCTTGGTTCGTAGCAGTTTTCTTTTCTCCTAGTTGCGCAACACAAAATAAGTGCTCCACTTAAACCTGCTTGCTCTTCTGCTTCTATATCTTTGTATTCTCTTTCGATTGTATTTTTCAATATTGTTCCATATACGCGACTCAATGGCTTGTTACCGCTATCTCCGGTAATTTTTACAGTTGTCTTTGCTGCCCTGTTTTATGTATTGTTTAAATGTAAGACTCTTTTCACTGTGTCGACTTTTCAACTGTATTTATAAAGTTCTGGAATAATTGCATTAGTTTCAGTATTTATCTTATTGCAATTCTTCTCCCAACTTTCGTTCTTTTTCTTAGTTTCGTTATATACTAATTAAATTTCATGTTTAGGAGCAACCGCTATCTGTACCACAAATAATACAGTTTTGTGTGTTGTTACCATGTCGCAAGCTGTCCCTTGTACCGATGAAAAAGCAATGTGTGTCAATACTACTATACCCTGCGCAGACAAATCTGATCCACTTTGTCAAAATACTACTCAACAACAAACAGAAACAACAGTTAATTTGCCATGTTATACAAATCTCAGTGTTGATATTAATCTATTAAATGAACCTGGAGCTGCCAAGACAGGTGATGATTATCAGTATTGTGTAACGACTATGGCTGTAGCGGGACCAGAATACAGCAAGTGTTCAGACGAGAGCATTTTGGCGAAATTTAATTATAGGAATATTTTGGCAGGTTAGTATCTTCTTATTTATTAGAAGTTTTGTGTAAAAATATTAGGGGAGGATGGGGCATCATGGACCATGGGGGTAATGTAAACCAAATCGGTTATTTTGTTTAAAATTGGCAACACTGCATCTAGTAACTACTACAAATATGCGTAGACATCTTATCTACTTTTAGTATGAGTTTGAACGCACGGGGAGTACGTTCAGACGTGTTATAATTAAAAACACGTGTTTCGTCGCTGCTGATCTAAGGAATTTACTACTCTAAAGATCTCTCGTAAGTAGACATGATTATTTTAACTTTTTGATACTGTGGTGTTGCTTGTAAAATGTGCTTTTAATAATTAAGATTTGCTTTTGATACGTTGTGAACTGGTACGTTAATTTCCATATTTTGAATGTGTACTACGCACGGGGCAACGTGGACTAGAGTGGTTCACATTGCCCCATTATATTTTCTTGACACTTATTTAATTATATGCTTCTTTTGCAGTTAAAAATGGTACGAAATTATGTGAGGAAAACTGAGCAACAATCATGGTCTCTTGTTGCCTTGAAGAATGCTATCCGGACAGTTAAAGCTGGGGAGATGGGCTATTTAAAAGCTAGTAAAGTTTATGGTATCCCGAAAGCAACGGTAATTCGCAGATGCAAAGAAAAAGTAACAAGAATTTCTCCTGACGAAAAGGGTCTAGGTTTCTACAAAACGGTTTTTACCAAGGAACAGGAAGAATAATTGTATAATTATATCTTAGATATGGAGAAGCGTTTATACGGAATTACTTTGCTTGATCTTCGACACAGCAGCCATACAAAAAACATAGAAGTAATTAATTTGGCTAGGGAAAAACATGTACATTTTGCAAACATTTGTTTGCCTCCACATTCCACCCATCGAATGCAGCCAACCGATGTTGGTGTCATGGCTCCTTTAGCACGATATTATGATATGGCATTAGAAAAGTTTCTTAATAACAACCCAGGCAGAGTGGTAACAGCTTTCCAAATCTCTAAAATTTTTGTTGAGGCTTTCTTACAAGCTGCAACACCTTTGACTGCTATTAACGCTTTTAAAAAATGTGGGATAGTACCTTATGATCCCAATATATTTACAGACCTCTATTTTGCACCATCTGCTACGACTGAAACAGATTTGGAGAATAATAGTCTACCACTGTCAAGTCAAGATGAGGCAATTCCTTCAACTTCAATTGCAGAGCCTCACTTAAGTCAAGATGAGGTAATTGCTTCAACCTCAGTTGCAAAGCTTCATACTGGTAACGATTTTCAATTGACAATTTCCCCTGCACACAATAGAGCAACAACTTCATTTGGAGCAAACAGCCCTAAAGACATTCGTCCTCTGCCAAAAAGAAGTAAATTAATGGAACCAAAGAGGAAATCTAAAAAAGGTAAAACGGCTGTACTGACATCTAGTCCGTATAAGCTAGAATTAGAACTTGAAATAAACACGAAGGAGGCAATAGAAACAATGAAAAAGGAAAAAGCTAAGAAAAAAATAAATGATGATAAGCACGAAGATAGTGAAAGAAGTAACAAAAAAATAAAAGTTTGTCCTTCCAAAGATGGTAAGGGAAAGAAAAAAAAATAAATGTAACCATCAAGTACAAGATGATGGCAATGGTGAAGATGCTGAATGTTTTTACTGTAACGAGTGGTTCTCCTCATCAGCCAATGAAGAAGGATGGGTACGTTGCTCGGCCTGTCTGAAATGGGCTCATGAAGCATGTGCGGGAATAGATCCAGAAGATGATGAAGAATGTCAGTGTGAATTTTGTATTTCTGAATAAATATAACATGTGTTTATTTTTACTAATGTTCTGTTACCGGTTTTCTAAATATTTTTAATAAAAAAATTCTTTTTACTTGATTTTATTTACCAAACATAGCCATTAGATAATGAAATAGTGTGCCACCCTATGGGGCAATGTGAACTTTTGACATATAGTCAGTTGTCATTTTTTTGTTGAAAATACGTTAAATAAATTATGTTTCAATTGCAACTAAATGACAGTTTAAATGTTTAATGAACGTCTCTAATTAATTAAACAAAACAAAATCATTTCTTGTTTAACAGTATGTGCATATCTTCCTTAGATGGTTCACAATGCCCCATCCTCCCCTATATTATTTCCGTATAATATGTTCAGTTAATATTTATATTAAATTAATTATGTATGAAATCTAATCATTACATAATATTATAATAGCGTCTAATGTAATTGTTACATGCCTCACATAATCTAGAAAAAAATCGGCAAATTGTTATGGTGTCTACGAATGCGCATATCTGGGGACATGTGCTAGGTACTCAAAGAAAAAGATAATAATGTCTTATTAGGCTTTGTATTATTAACAGAAGTGTAAAAGCTATGTTCTTGCATTTCATTGTCGCCGTTGCCACTTAACTCTCACCTTTTTTCGATGGCTTTCCCTTTGGTCTTCTTTAATGGATTTTATTGTCTATTCTTGGTGTTGAGTCAATAACTACTTAATGTTTACCTAACAAAATCCCTAATCAGCAGCATAGTCTCTACAGAAAAGGGCTGGTGTGAGTTAATTAAATTTTTACGACTTTTGGTTTGAAAAACCATATACAAAAAACCAAAGAAATGATCATCGATAAAAATAGAAACAACCAAACTGCGATACACGGCAGGGTACAAAGTGCTTATACAATTTAATTACTTAGGCTCTGTCATCACTTAACCAAACCATGAGAATAATCACTGGAACAATAAAATCAACGCCAGTGAGATGGCTGCCTACTCTGAGCAATATTGCTCCACCAGATCTACGCCGTACAGCAGCATTAGTGAGAAAGTACCAGAAAATTGTAGCCAACGTACAATTACCAATACATCAAGATATCCCAGACATCTCAAAAGAGCACCAACGATTGAGATCTAGAAATCCTCCAATACGATCTGCCCGAAAAATTGGTAATTCCTATGATATACATAGGCAATGGACAACAAGATGGATGCCAACAGTAGAATCGGACTATATTAAGATATCAACCCCAACTCAGGGTTTCATCGGATCAAATCTGTCCCGGTCCATTTGGGCAAGGCTTAATCGTATACGTACCGGACATGGTAAATGTGCTGATTCGCTGTTCAGGTGGGGTCGTGCAGAAAGTCCACAGTGCGATTGCGGAGAATCTAGACAGACCATAAGCCATTGTGTTTCAGACTGCTTGAATCGTGCCTACCGTGGAAACCTCCAGGACTTTGGGGAATGTTCCCCAGAAGCAATTGAATGGCTATGTAAATTGGACATTAATATTTAGTGTCATTCATTCTATTTATTCTATTTTTACTATTTTTAGTGTTTGAATAATATATATAATATATATGTGTATATCATTGTAATTGTATTTGTATATTTATCGTACTGTGAAAGTCCATACGCTAAATAAATAAATAAATCACTAAAAATGGAAGGTGCGAAGACGTGATCCGTCAACGCATCATAATGGCTAGATCTGCTACAGTCAAACTTCGAGCATGAATGTTTCCCTATCGTCACCTACGCTTCAGAAATTTGGACCATCAAAAAAACCGATTCGAAGCGTATACGGGTCTACCGTAGAATGTTGCGCATACCATGAACCCCACATCGTACAAATATTAATACTGGAAACACTTAACGACAAAATCTACATTCGTCACAATTATTAACCAAAATATAATAAGAGGTTTTGGAAATATAACTAGAAAAATAGCAGGAAGGTAGTGAATGATAGTTGAAGGCAAGATAGCGGGCAAAAGATCCAGAGAAAGATCTCCAGCATGATAGTCGGACCAAATAAAAGACATGACTAGTTTCTTACTCTCTGAAGCAAAACAACACGCATAGAGGAGAGATCATTGGACAGAAATGGTCCAACAAATTACATCACGCCACTACATCTTTGCGAAGGAGAGAAGATAGAGGAGTTAAGTTCTACATTTGAAGTCCATTCTGTAACTACAGTCCCGAGCTTTTTGCTTTCTATCTATTACTATGCCACTAAACTTGCCGTGGGATAAGATGCCCAGATGACCAAACTAGAATACCTGAGCCATAGAATGTATAATGAATAACGATACGACCTACTTCGGACCATACCTCCAGGTAAGGTGCATGTAAAAACAGGTATAGGAACTAAAAAAATATCCTTTCTTCATAACCTACGAAAATGGCTTAACATGACCACTACCGGTCAACTATCAGATCAGTACTACCACTTTTTAGGGCAATAGTCAAAATAGCCATGTTCCAACATCCGTAACAAATGGATACCATAAGAAGAAAGAAGACCAGGTCATCTGCATAGCATAGCACATGATGTCTGTCGATGCTGTCACTAGTTATCAGCCGATCTATGGCCAGGTTTTACCAGAGAGAAGATAAAACTTCCCGTTCGGATAACCTCAAGCTACCTGTACTGATACTGTATCCTCCTGTAACGTTGCGTATATTACACGGATTCTTAACGTAAATTCTATTCATCTGTAGCTGGTTTCGTCTATTCCTTCGATTGCGCCCGAACAGAGAAATACAGCCAGAATTACTTCTTGGTTTTCCAGAACCTACTCTATCCTGTATACGAGATGGTGCGTTGCCGTTTCCGACGAGAATCCTGCTATATTTGCATTATATACCTGATGTATCTAACTTTCATAATACCACCCCTGTTGTGCTTATCGAGCAGTTTTTTTAGAGACCTTTTCTAGAGAGTACAAATGACATGCGACATATCGGCCTCAGGGACGTTTTTCCTATTCAGTTTTAGCAGGCTTAAAGCTATCCTTATGAGCTTCCATGATTTTGGTATGTACTTTAGTTCTATGATAACCAGTTGGGTCATACAAAACTTTTTGTACAGAAAGACATTTCCCTCCTCTAGAAGTAATATATAATTAGATAGCTCAAATAAGTTTATACGCTATTTGATTTTGCAAATCAATTTTATCACATTTTCCACACGCCAATTTTCCTTAGTACCATGAGTTAAGGTTTTCAGTCCAATGTGCTGTCGTGTATCTAGTAAATGAAACCACTGCTATTAATAAAACAATGTTAAAATGGGCACTAACAGAAACATGGAGAATTGGACGTCCTAGCAAGGCGTGGAAGGATGATGGTGGTAGAAGTGTAATGAATGTGAGAAATTTATGAGAAAGAAAGTGAATTGATTAATTTTTTATTTGTGCACAAACACATACTGATAACTAAATTTACGTACCTATATTGTTCTAATCCCTCAACAATCAAGATACAAGTTAATAACCAGCTACGTAAGGTGACTCACGTCTTGGGTTTAAGTAGTTTTTCTTGAGAGGTATCGCATAAAAACATATGTCCTGAATAAGTTATAGAAAAATTCCAGTACAACTTCAGATTTTCTTTTTAAAACGATACTTAGAAAGTATCTCCAGAAAGAAGTGGAGGAGTAACTGCACCTTAAGTACGAATATTTATGTTTAACTTTTTCTCTATAACGTATTTTTAGGTTTTATGAAATAACGATGGAATATCTACCTAACTAATTTTAGCAAGTTACACCATCACTTACTTTACTATATCGGGGAACACCGGATAATCAAAATTATAAAAAGGGCCAAAACTGTTTTTTTTTTCACTACACTGTGATATAAAACCGCTAATATCATATTTTTTGACAGTATCTACTTAAATTAGTGTCTGTGAACCATATCAAATATATTCAAATGATGTGTAGATCTATTCTTAAAAAAAAAACACAAATTCAAATTCAAATGATTTTATATTTATATTTATTATGTTAAACGAAATAAATTTACCTGAACTTTTATAAAATTATATTTTGTTTACAGGAAGCTATAACTGGAATCTTACAGTTATGCCTATGATGCGCAAATATCAATCATACAATTACGACAATCCAACACAAACTCCTTCTGGCGAATTGGTTCTACCATTAACTGCACTGATACCGTGTATTGATAATGCAACAGTGATATGTGCTCCAGAGCTAGTTACTATCTGTACCGGCTTCGGTGAAATAATGTGCATAAAACCTTTAAGAGCTACAACTTATTGCGAGCAATACAATACTACATGCCAAACGACCCAAATAGAGTGTCAAGAAAACATAGAACAAGATATGTTGTGCCAAAATAAAACAGAAGAGGAACTAGTTACTAAAGAAGAGAAAAAGTTTGTCAACGTAGACATGCCTTGCTTTGCCAATGTAACTCTAGACACCAATTTGCCCAATTTTGATATTACAACGTTTAACGGTACCATTCCAGCATCCGCTCCGAGTAGTTTTATGTACCATTACCACTTTTGTCTAATAACTTTAAGTATACCAGGTCCTGAAACTGATATGTGTTTGGTAAATGATGGAAATTAATCAGAATCTTAAGCACACTATCTATTAAATATATTTTTGATTTACATTTAGAATATATTATAGAAATACCTAGTTGTTTAATATTTTTAGTGTTTAATAAAACTAAATTGTTAGTGAATGAATATTTTGTAGTTATAAAGTATTTGTCTTTTAGATCCAAGCAGATGTTGAGAGAGAATTTATTAGATTTTACCATAATAATATAGGTACGAATACTTTTATACAATATCTGTGCCAATAAGTAATAAAGAATTTGTGTAAAGTACCTGTAATTAGTTTAACTAGTATTATTAGCTACTGATGTTTGGTGTCCCAATAAAATAACTTTCTGTAATATTTATATACCACCAAATTATAATTATTCAGAACGCGAATTAACAGACCGTATTAATAAACTTTCTAGCCTTTTATAGTCACTGGAAGTTTTAACGCTCACAATACATTATGGTGAGCACAACGCACGTTTGCCAGAGGAAATATTACTGAAAACATCATAAATAAAAAGTCTCTTAAGTTCAGGATCTAGTACCCACTTCAATATTTCTTCTGGTATCTTCTCGGCAATCAATCTACATTTCTGCGATCCAAGACAAGTTTCTTCTCTCTCGTGGAAGTAGTGTTGCCAAAATGCAAGAACAAGACGAGACTTAGACAGTCTTGGTATTACACTTCCGGTCTTGGTCATGGTCTTTCAGCAATAGTCTTGCAAGTCTTGCAGTTACCCATTAGTCTATTGATATTTATTAAACGTTATTTTAGAACTTTAGAACAACGTAACGTTAACGACTAAGTACATTTTAAGCTTGAATTAAAGCCGTAATAAAGACCAACTAAATTAATAAATGTTTAAACAACTGACACCGGGTGGGGTTTGAAGTCACGATCTAAGCGATTTGTGCCTATGCTCTAACTAACTCAGCTATCTACCATGCCCCACGGAAATCAATTTTTTTTTATTTAATAAACCTTTGCATTTAATAAGCGTACATGTGCTAAAACATGGTTAAAACACAAAAAAGCCAAATTAATGACATAAACCTTAAACGACTTAAAGTACATTATCTCTCTAGAAAGGGATTGATGGATCCCCCTTCCCAATATATTAAATGGAAATATTAAAATACATTGGTATGTGGCAAAAAATCCACATATATTCATCAAGGGCATCAAGGGTATCAAGGGCAAAGATTCTTTAGGTGATAAAATAAAAAACTATATTCTACTTATTAAAGCAAAATAAATGTTAACCATCTAAGCTCTATTGTTTTATAAAAAACTAACTTGAAAAATAAAGAATATGTAAAACAGCCATGATAATCAAAAGAAGTTATTTTAAATTAGCATAATTAGAGCCGCTTCTTTGATTTTTCTTTTTTTACCATCCGTTTCTTTTAGGACTACATTTGAATTATTCCATTGAACCCTATGTTCATTATCCGATGCGTGTTTACATATTTGAGATCTATCAAATTCTCTATTTTTAATATAAGATTGATGTTCACTTATTCTAACATTTAATGGCCTTGATGATTCACCGAAATAAAACTGATCGCATTCACAAGGTATTTTATAAATGCAATTCTTTGTCCTTTCTTGTTCATTGTTAGGTTTGGTTTTGGACAAAATAGATCTCATCGTGTTTGTTGTTTTGAATGTTGTTGAAATGTTGAATTTATTTCCTATCCTTTTAAGTTTTTCTGATAGTCCTTTATATTAAATATAAAATTATATTAAAATATATTAAATTATATATTAAAAATAGAGAATTTGATAGATCTCAAATCTGTAAACACGCATGGGATAATGAACATAGGGTTAAATGGAATAATTCAAATGTAGTCCTAAAAGAAACGGATGGTAAAAAAAGAAAAATCAAAGAAGCGACTCTAATTATGCTAAATGAGGCCAATTGTGTCGCAAATTCCTCGGCAGAATGTAGTAGGATCTGGTTACTAATATTGAAGGAGGAAGTTATTAATAAGAAAATACCAGTATTAATAAGTCAGTAACATATAGAGGATACATCATTTATGTTTTTTAAATAACGTAACATATAAAATCAGAATTTTGATGTTTGTTGAAGGTAAACTAAATTCACGAACAAATACTTACAATGTCGGGATAGTATTATGAAGTTTTTTTTCCTGGTTTTTCCCTCATAATTTACTATGGAATCACTAACAGGAGAATTTTACTATCATCATGTCATGTGTTTGTCTTTTTAAAGACGAATTACATGCTATGATTTTTTTCTGACGGATATTCTCAAGTTAAAGTTGATTTCATGTAATCGAATGAACTATCTTATAAGTAAAGTCGACCCAGGAGCGCAACTCAACAATATTGGCAATATCATTTTAAAGTCGTCTACTTTAAAATGCATAATGTATGTCTGAATATTAGAAGAATTTTTCACTATGTAACAAAAAACAAAATTTGTTTAATTTACTGTTTGTATTTTGAGAACGATTTCCGAAGTGGAAATTGAAACGTCAATAAACGTATTTTTATCTTTAATTGTGGCTTATTCCCAGTTTAATAGTAATTAATTTACAATGCCACAAGAAAATAGCTTCAGAACAATAATAATATATAATATAATAACAAACTATAATACTTCGTTATTCTAAATAAATATTTCGGTATTTTGTTTACACGGTAGGTAACATTATCTGTTATTAATTTGTTTTGTTACTTTTGAATATCAGCCGCGCTTATTCAGCAAATTTTGTTTAACCGAATGATCTCATCGCACAGTCAGTAGAAACAATGTTTAGTCGTAGGCCCATAAGATTTGTTTATTTAGATTTCTCCTAACTAAATTATATTGGGAAAAAATTGAATTACTAAGTGGGTGTCCTTAACAATAAGTATTATATTTTTTATTAGCTAAGGTGACATATTTTTAAAAAATTTCGATACGATATTACTGTCGGCGTCGCAATGCAAGAAGATTATTTTATGATCCATCATTAATTAGCCTATATTTGTCCACTGCTGAACGTAGGCCTCCCGTAAAGTTTTCCACCCATTTCTATTTTGAGCTTCTTGCATCCAGTTTGTGGTGATGCGCTTGATATCATCCGTCCATCTAGTCGGTGGTTGTCCTCTGCTTCGATATGCATCTTGCCTTGGTCGCCATTCCAGAATCTTTCTCATCCATCTATCATCCGTTAATCTGGCAACATGTCCGGCCCAAGCCCATTTAGCCATGGTTATTTTTTCAACTGCATCTGTGACTCTTGTTGTTCTTCTTATTTCTAGGTTTGGTACTTTATCTCTGATGGTAATACCTGATATTGATCTTTCCATAGCGCGTTGTGTAACTCTTATTTTATCTATTGTTCTTTTTGTCAGAGTCACTGTTTCTGCACCATATGCAAGAACCGGTAAAAAGCACTGGTTAAAAACCTTTCTTTTAAACAAACTGGGATACTAGACTTGAAAATGTTATTCAATCTACAAAAGGCAGCCCATGTGAGACCTATCCTTCTTTGTATTTCAGTTGTCTGATTATCTCGCCCTAAGCGAATCTCATGTCCTAGATATTGGTAAGCTATTACTTGGTCGATTTGTATTTGGTCGAATGGAATTTTATGATTAGAGGGCGGCTATTCTCAAAATCTGGACAATTAATTTCAGAGCGAAGAAGTCGCCTAAGGGGAAAGAATGTACAAAATATTTTATTATTACATTGTAATTATGACCTCTTTTCACGTGTCAAATGTGTCCTGTTAATGAATATTTTGATTCGGTATGTATGTGTATGGTATTGTTCGTAATGCTCATAAGTCCAGTTTTTCAAATTTTTATTACATTTTTTTTGCGTCTCATAGAGTCTTTATGCATATACTCGAACTACTATACTCGCTAAAACGACACAGAACTAACTGCAAGACGCAAGAGTCTTGCAGTCTTAGTCTTGTTCTTGCTTAAATCTTGCACGGTCAGACTTGGCTGCAAGACTGCAAGACCAAGACCATTTTTGGGCAACACTACGTGGAAGGTAATGGATACTGTGTATAACAGGATATACATATATATCCTAGGACTTACTTTTGATAATAAACTTAGGTACATGGAAAAAACACATCGAAAACAAAAAAACTAGCTGTTTAACCAGAATTAACTCAAATCACTATCACACTATCAATGAGGAGCTGATGAATCTGTTCTACTTGGGGTGTATAGAGGACTGGTTCGTTAAGAATTAAATTATGTAAGCTTCATTTATATGTCAGCCTCCAAAACTACTCTTAGATATCTCAACTCTGTGCACAAACTGCTCTACGAATCTGTTTGGGGCGTTTAAATCCTGTCGCACTTATGGTGTGTGGAGTGCAAAAACAATCGTGCATTTCCTTCAAACTATAGATCTGAAAAACAAATCCTATGGGATAGCCCGCTTCTATCCCATCTGTGGCCTATTGGGAAAACGTTCTTCCAATCGTTCTTGTCTCTTTAAACGAATATTCTAAAAATGTAAGTCCCAAAAGATCTTCTCAAAAAATCTTTTCTTGATGTAATTCATAACAACAGTTTTGACATACACACATGACTCATGGTTATCTTATTTCCTCCGAAGATCCGCTGTTATGTATTTTTTGTAATAATGCCCAACTCAATGCAAAACACATCCAAATGGAATGCCGACATTACCAACACAGCCGCATTACTAACGATTTGAACGGTAGTTTGAAGGAGCTTCTTAATTCCTCAAGCCGTTTCGGAAGACTGATAAATTTACTGAACACTTCAAAGTTGTATAATCTAATTTAGTGCATCCAATGTTGAAAATAAAGACTGTAAAAAAACTGTAAAATAAATTAGTTATAGTCTGTTAAATTTTTTAATCCGTTAATTGCTAAAACAAAATTGCTTAATTATTTTAATCTTCTAATGTTTAACCCTCAACTGGCATGGTGAATATTTTGTGAATGACCAATAAACATAAAAATGCTACTTATGAAAAAAAAAAACCAAATAAACTAAAAAAACGTGCACACGTAATTTACGGGTCATTTTGCACTTCGCTTTCCGCACAATCTAGGCAAAATTTTTTAGAACACTCTAAACAAATAGGTCTTTTGCAAGAAAAACACAGATAAGCAGTTTTCCTCTTCTTTTTTGGTGGACATATGGAGCTAGTTTTTCGATTTTCTCGTGTTAGTTTGTCGGATGTACCAGCATTAGTTTCATCATATGGTACATTTTTCTCCCCTAGGATACGACCGATTGACATTCGACGTTCACGTGGTAATCTTATAATATGAAACCGTTCTCTCATATATGGTTCAATCAACTGTTTAGCAACAATCTTCATGAATTCCATCCTAGTAAGAATGATGAATTTGTTGTACTCATGTCAAGAA